TTTTCCTTTGTTTTTGCTGTATTTTCCTTATTCCCGATGGCCAGCCAATCAGCAGAATGGTCGAAGAGTAAATTAGGTATAAGAATCGTCAAAATTCTCAAAGAAACGATTATTTTATGCACAGTTTGAGAAAATTAATCAAGATTTTCAAAAAAAATTCAATCAAAAAACTTAATGAAACTATTCAATTCATGCATAATTTATTCTTTTTCTTGGTATGTTTTGACGATGCTAATAATTTTTTTAACAATTAGCTTGTATAAATCAACTCAAAATTTTTCTGTTTTTCTGCTTTTGGACTCATTCTGCTCTTAGACCATTCTGCTTATTGCTCCGCCTCCGTTCATACAGTATTTGTCTGCTTACTGACGAGGGGTGCCGGACATGAAGCCGATGGGACTTCAAGCCGAAACGTAAAGTTAGGGACTTCAAGAAAATTGAATCATTTGAAAAATTTCGTGAGGAAATTCCCATTTTCATGATCTTTCTTCAGTAGTTACAGGTACTTTCATAAAATTATCCTCCAAATGTGATGTTTAGGAAAGTTCAAAAATAAAAAACGTTTGACAGCAATTTTCTTGTTTATAACTTATGCATTTCAAAACCGGCTGATATTATTAACGGATGCCAATCCTAAGTGATTCATTGTCATGAATAACGCTTATTATGGACTAAACTTGCCTAAATTTTTGAAAAGCTTCTGGTTTTTGATGAAAAAATAGCGATTTGAGGTGCTTGTAAAGTTTCAATTTCGGCCTGAATTCCCTTCGGCTTGAAGTCACGTCGGCTTGTTGTCCCAGACCCTTAATGAGTAGGAATACGCGGTTATCTAGATACAGACGGGTGCCGAACATCTGGCCGACGGGAATTCAAGCCGAATAGTAAAATTAGGGACTTCAAGCCGAAAATGTTCTCATCAGGTCATAAAATATGAATAATTTGAAAACTTTCTCGAAAAATTACTCAATTACATGATCTTTCTTCAGTAGTTATTGGCGTTTTCATAAATTTTGAGCCTCCAAATGATGTTTAGGAAAGTTGAAAAAAAACACGATTCAATCAATTTTCTTGTTAATAATTTATGCATTTCAAAAACCGACTGATATTATTAACGGATGCCAATCCGAAGTGACTTATTGTCATGAATGACGCTTCCTCTGGTCTAAACTTACCTCAAATTTTTAAAAGCAACGTTTTTCTGATAAAAAAATAGTGATTTGAGGTGTATGTAAAGTTTAAATTTCGGCCAGAAGTCCCCTCGGCTTGAAGTCCCGTCGGCTTGTTGTCCTAGACCCAATACAGACCGCACTCCAATTTTGAGCTACGGAGCTTGAATTTAATGCTCAAACAAATCCTTCTTGTGAAATTCACAAAACAACCAATGAGAGAGCAGCATGTGGTGTTCATGTTTATTCTATTCATTCACTTTCACTTGGCGAGAATTATTTGAGCGATTTGTTAATTTTCTTACTTTGTCAAGCAAAAAATTGCACCTTGCATTATTTATTTACCAAAGTAGCAATTTATTGTATGAAAATTACTGAGGAATTTTTTTTGCGCCACAGTTATAAAGTTGAGCTTTTGCAAAAAAAAACTGTCCGAAAAGATAAAAGAAAGAAAGAAAGAATTTATTTCTCATTATATCCATAAATCATTATAAATTTTTACGAAAAATGAATTTTTCTTGTCTTACAAGTTACAAATAAAATTGATTTGATTCAATCTATGAGAATTTATTTTGATTATTTCAAATTTTATAGTTAAAAATTTTGAAGGAGTATTCTGCATTCTTTTTTTTAAATAGCAACTGCTAACTGTGTCGTCGTAATACAGCCATTTATGCAGCACAGCCCTTGCACCTTGACCTTACTGCAGTGCATTGGGTGAGTGGGCGGTTTCGATGAACTTGGACGCTTCTGTATGTGCTGGAAACAGGTCATCAACGGACACGCCAGTGGAGGAAATGGGGTCTGTAGTGAATCTGGCTGCTGAGATGGCCGCCAACAAGCGTCTCTACTCGTTGAAGATGGATGACGGGGGCGGGGGTGATGTGCACATGAACATGAACAGCGTGGGCTGTAAAGCAGACACCAATGCAAACTCCACCACCGATGGCCCCCCTCCCCCTCTCCACTGCCACTCGCAGTCGCACTCGTCCTTTTTGGCCATGGGGATGGGGGGCTATGAGGAGGTGGCCATCCAGACAGAAAGCGTGGACAACTGTGAGCCATGTGAGACTGGATCCCACCTCCTACTGGAGGGAGTGGTCTGGCACGAAACTCAAGATGGTAAGCAGTCAAGTTCGCCATTACCATTCCATCCAACAAACTCACTCCCACAAACTGTGCGTAACCACAGCCGGATAGCCGAAAGAACTAAAAAATTCTTGTTAGGGTCATTAGCAAAACAAAATTTGACTAAAAAAATAATTCGTCGCAAAATTTGGACCACTTTTGTTCGAACGATTAAGCGAACTTTTTTTTGCAACTTAGCTAGCAAAAATCTAATAGAGTCAAAACATTTTCTATGCGAAAAAGTTTTGATTTCATGGAATTATAAAGCAATATAAATGCGACTACTTCGATGGCGTAATATTTTTTTCGGCTATCCGGGAAAGGGGCGTTCAACAGTGCCGAAGTACAACAGTGTCGAAACTGAAAATATGTTCATCAGCTCCGAAAATTGTGGATATTTGATTTGAAAATTTTGAGTTCTGTTTGCGAATTGGGTGAAGTCCCATTTGTACCAACGTTCATTTGTACCAAAATGAAAAATCGGTCCCAATTGTACCAAAATTATTCAACTCGATTTCTGATTGGTCGAATTGTGAGCCAACGAATTATTACGTTAATTTTCTTTTTTTCAAACAGATTAAAACTAAACAGCAGAATAGTGACCGACGTGTTGCGAGCTTGCCAACAGAGGGTAGGACTCTATACGAAAATTCCACCGGCGACCTTAAACCGCGACTCGGCTAATTTATTCTTTTGACCAATTGAAAAGATTTGGGACTAGCGACTGCTTTTTTATTTTGGGACCTCCGGGATTGATTTTGGGACCTATGAATACGCACCGTTCTGCATGAATGCTGTTTTGCTTTGCAGCGGAACCGATAGAAAAATTTGACAACTCGCTGAGTTAATTGTTTGTTCGGAAAAAATTATAACGCCGCGCTTGGGGAACTTTCGTTTGTTTAACAAGCGGCATCAATTAAAATGGCCAGTTTTGGCTTTTAAACTTCCGTCGACTTGAATTAAATTAGTTTTCAGTGACTTAGGGATAAAAAACAGCATTCAAAATAATTTCCGGCACTGTTGAACAGTGTTTTATTTGCGGTGCTGTTGTACTTCGGCACTGTTGTGCTGTCCTTCCTCCGGGAACAAATTTGTTTTGGCTATCCAACGAAAAATTATTTTTGATTCTCAGGGAACAAAGAGTTTATCCAGTGAATTAACAAATAAGACCAAATTTAAACAAGACTGCTCGTATCAGACTGCTTTTGAGGTTTATGGAGCAGTTATAACATAAAAAATTAAGTGTAATAAATTAAAATGAAGTTTTTTCTTAACGCCATATAAAGCACAATAGATTAGATTTTGCTCCTTGTAACAAATTAATTATGGCAAATAAGCTTCTCTACACCAATTTAGAACAGTTTCTAAGACGGATTAAATCTCCGCTTACGCGTTAGTAGGGCGAAATATATCGAGCGTTAATTGTCCCAAAGTGGCCAAAATGGCAATTTTTAAACCCCCATAACTTTACGAAAAATGATCACAGGTGAAATATCTTTTCAAATTTAAGCTCAAACCAACCTTTTGAATGATATAAGAAAATTCCGTCAAAAATGGCTAGTTGAAAAGTCACAATTTGTCTGAAGAAAAAAAGTCCCACCCCGAGCACAAATATTTCGTTACTTTCGTTTTGAAAGTAGGAACATTAAGTATCTTGAGATGAACGCAGGTAACATTCATCAAAAAAGTGTTCAAAAGCTAAATTTTTGGCCAAACTTTTCTCAATTACTTGCCTCCGTCGCAAAGTTTTGTCAAAAATAAAACCTTCACAGCGTTTCGGGGATAGCTCAACTTTAGTCGATCCCAAAAAGCTCGGTATTTTTCTGTTTTAAAGCAATCTTTTCACCATCATAAAATTTTTATATTCTCAGGATCTATAAATTAATTGGGATGGGGTTATGATAAGTAAAAGCTATATTTTTTATATTTTAATATTTAAAGCAATTAATTTTTGGTGTAGATCGAATCATTTTTTGGCTATCTGGAACAAAAAAGATTTCGGCTATCCGGGAACAAAAAAAATTTTCGGCTATCCGCGAATGAATTTATTGTTTAGCTATATGGGAACGATTTGGTTTCTCGGCTATCCGGGTATTCGGCTTCGTGACGTAACACCAAAATTTGGACCACCTTTACTCGAACGATTAAGCTATCTTTTTTTTTCGGAACTTAGCTCAGAAAAAATCCAAACTCTTAAAACATTTTCGATGCGTAATAAGTTTGGTTTCATAGAATTAAATGGCAAAAAGTGCGACCACTTTTATACGCAATATTTTTTTTTGTTTATCCGGGATTAATTTCTTTTTCAGTTATTCGTGAACAAAAATCTATTTTGGCTATCCAATAGCAAAATTTTTTTGGCCATCCGCGAACAATAATTTTTCGTAAACACACACACACCATAAACACGCACACACACGCACACTCAGAACTGAAATTTCAACTGAACTGGCGCTATGTTAGTTTTCTTGCCGCACCCGGCGTACCCGATTAACCGCTGAACTAGTGGTTCACCGGTTAATTAAGTCTAATTAAATAAAGATAGTAAAAACCAATGCCATCAAGAAAAAGTGAGCAGTTTTTGGTATTCAGAAACAAGGCTAGAGCACCAACCCTGGTAATTTGCCCCAAAAAATGTGCAAAAAAAGAGTTCTTCTTAATTTCGATTTTTTTTCCAAAAATTTCTCGATACTCATATGAGATAAACTTCATTCGGTCAGTTGATTGCGTGCAATGGATACATCAACTATCTACTTGCGTTTGCTAACGTCTTTTAGTATCGTTTTACCGTTTTTGCTTGGAGTGATAGCTCAATTGGTCATTACAGAGAAGACGGGGGACTATTGCTCAATTGGTCCCTCCCACACACACATCCACACAAAATTATCGTATTTCAATTTGTATTAATCGCTTTTCTCTTATAAAAATGTTAACTTTGAAAAAATCGTGGCTATACTCAAAATTCCTGAAAGAAAAACATTTTCTCCCGGGTTGATGAAAGATTGATCCTATTTTGTTCCCGGATAGCCGAAAGTTAAATGATAATTAACAAAAAAAAACATAATATGAGTTTGTACTGATTCCGCTGCGTTTGTATTCGGCACAAGAAGTATAGTGCGCGTGAATCAATTATACCATGAAACATATTTTAAACATAAAAAACATGTTTTTTTTAATGGTTTCAATGTTTTTTAAAGTCCCTTTTTCTGCTACTTTTTTTTCAAATTTATAAGCAAAACATGAAAACAGTGATATTGTTAATTAATCAATTCGCCACTTGAATTGCTTATGCAAAAAAGCATTTTTGTATGCTTTTTCTTCAATCAGTTGGTTTAGCAAGGACCTGTAGGTCATCCTAATGGTGAAACACTGTCGCTCTAAGCCACAAAACTGGAAAAAGTTCGTTATGTTTCTCATTTTGTGTTAAACATGTTTTTACTGTTTTAAACTGTTTTTTGCTCATTAGTTTCAAACAGTTGAAAACAAAGTCTCCCACCCTGAGTCGTAACATTCAGCCCTTCGCAATGATACGAGCAGTCTTGTTTGTCATTGGATTCACATCTTCGGCGAAATTTATAGTTATCGTGATAGCAGAGTTATTAGACAGGTTTGTCAAATCATCATAAGCTAGTTTTCCTCGTATATTTTCAAATATTAGAGTCGTCAATTGTTGGAGCTTGAATGCTCTCTTCTGAATATGCTAGATGCAGTCGCCGTCGCGTATTCTTTTGTTTTGTGTTTTTTTTTTGTGATAGTGATAAAAGCATGACTTGGTTGTTACCAGAAAGCTATATGAGTGCATAGCAACACCAGCGGATTTAGGGGGGGGGGGGGCGGACGCTTCCCCCCTAAGGAATTCGATCCGCTGCCGGCCTAAAGGGTCCCCTTTGTACTATTTTGAGAAATCCAATTTTGGTGACTGGCCCTAAAATTTTTCTAATGGCGCCTTTGGCGCCAATATATTTTAATTTTGAGGGGGAAGAACGCGCCGAAAAAACGCAATTTTTTGGTCAAAATTTTCCAATAATTGCCTTATAACAATTGCCTTTTTGGCCTGTTTTTTTTTCTTCAAAACTTTGCCTGCGGCGCAGAAAAAAAAGGTCAAAGTGGGGTTTTAATAGTGATTTAGGAGAGCTCAAAAAATCAATTTTTTGGTCGATCTAAAAAAAAAAGGTCGACGAAATTTTCGAAATTTTTCGAAAATCCGCCCCCCTCGAGAAAATCCTAGATTCGCCCTTGCATAGCAATAATCATCTTGGCCAGGCTTGGGTAAATAATAATTATTGTAAAAATTATTGCAATATAACTATTGCAATAATTTATTGTGACGAACATAATATTGCAATAATTTATTTTCCGAGTTTCTATACTGCACAAATTATTTGTGTTATCACAATTATTGGTCGTTGCTGAACTTTGTGGTTGTGCAAATATTGCATCATCCAGTTGTCGCGTTTTTATTGGTTTGTTACATTGAACGATCATTTAGCCTGGCGAAATATATTTTGCGACCTGAAAGAAAAAATCTAGCCCCCATGCATGTTCTTAAAACTTAATCATTCTTTTAGAGATGAAAAAGTTTTATGCTTTTTAGTTCGAATTCAAATTCATTCCACTATAATTTCCGAGAGCAATATTTAGCAATTATTTTAATAGTTTATTTTTTGATAGTCATATTGCAACAATTTATTAAAAGGGTTTGAGTACTGCAATAATTTATTTATGTCTGCAATAATGTTGCAATAAAATGTTACCCAGGCCTGATCTTGGACTATAAGAATGTGCAAATTGGTTCAATAAGGTGATCGTTAAGTGGAAAAGTAAAATTTTCCTAATCACTTGATTGGTAGGAGGAATTGAAATTTAATTTTCGCCTCAGTAAACGTTCGCCTCATGCTATACGACACATGGTAATATGCCGGTCCCCAAGCGATATATTTGTACAGAAATTTAGCACTGCGAGACTAAAAATGCATTTTTAGAACGGTTGCTTC